ACACACACACACACACACACACACACACACACACACACACACACAGCTTAATTCGAACAGATGCTGGAAAAACCAGATTTGTCCATGTGGGTTACTTAGGAGGTCCATTTCAGCTGTGCTCGGAGGCACGGTGCTGCCAGATGGAGCATTAGTGAGGAAAGAGAAAGACGATTTGTTGCCTGTGAGAAAGTTAAAAGGAAAAAAAAAAATGCTGGGTGAATCATGGCGTGTGTTAGACCGTCCCTCCGGGATTCGGCGGGGCGTTTTCTGTTGTGCTTCTGTTTGGAAAGCCCCTACTCATTTAGGAAGGAAGTGCTCAGAGAGTTGCAGAACCCCATCACACACACAAGCCCAGGTTGGTGATCAGTGTTAATAGGAGCATGTCAGTCCACTATTACAGCACTTTCACAATCAAGTTCTGCCCTGTTAGAAACAGCTAGCAGTTAGAGATGAGGAGAACAGTGTTTTCCAGCTGCTCAGGTTAGTGTTGGGACATCAGTGATCTCCACCAAGACAGTAGTTCTCATTCAGAGAAGCAAAACAGAAATTTAGAGGCGGGTGTGAATAATCACTTTGCTCTTTTTGATCTAATGAAACGTGATTTGTGTGACAAATTCTATAAACAATGAGCCCAAAGGTTGAGAACTACTGAACTGACAGGGATGAAGATCTTGTGGGTCATAAAAGGCCCCACTCACTTATTGCTGCTGAGTGGAGGTGTGGACAAGGAGAACGGCTCTTCAAGTGACTCATCAAAGCTGTCAGGGTCCAACGGCAAAACAAAAACACAAGTTTATCACAAGACAGCAGCTGGCAGCCAGCGGACACAAACAAAACATGGTCTAGCCGTGAAATCTGARCCGGGATCGCAGGCGGAGTGGAGCAAATCACCACTGCTACTTTGACTCGAGGAAAACACATTTCTGCCACATCAAGTCATCAAGCTGGAGTGGGTCCACCTCGTTTCGCCGGCACTACAGCTTCAGACATGTTCACCAGGCGTTGCCCCGGCTGCACGAGGTTATGAACACATGGATGAAATGAACGGCTCACCAGATAAAACAAGTCTGAATATGAATCAGGAGGGAGGTTTGTGCTTTTAGATGCACACTTCTAGCTTCTAATCACTTTGTTTTAGCCCCGATCACGTGTGTGAGTAAGTTCTGCGCACTAATCATGGTTGGACTGTGGCAAATAATTTGTTGATGAACTGCTTGAAGGAACAGGTCTATAACTTAGTTTGGTCAGCTAATCTGCATCTACAGTTGTATTTCTGTTAGCTGGTTAAGACTGGCTCTTTGTTAGTCTTTTTATGCTCTAAGTTACCTTTTGCCCAACATTTTGAACAAAAAACTTTAAATTTTCACTATCCCCTCAGGGAATCCATACAAATAACTACAAACAAAAATTTTCTAGATTCTTTCTTCTGTTTTGTGTCTTGTTAAAACAGAAAAAATGCTTTACCACCGAAAACCTTTAAAGGAGGTGAAGAAATTATTGGAGTTTAGGTTTATATAACTGATTTAAATTACATACACATGGTATAGTTTTATGATAGAACTGTAATGATTGTTAAATGTGACTGTTTTGCTTAACTTGATGATTTTTATATTAATAACTACATGCCTGAAAACAAACTCAACACATAACTGAACTTTTAAATCCTCATTGGGGTAAGATTTTAATGTCTGAAGGGCATGGCTTCAAGAAGAGTAGGGACTCCCCTTTCTGATGATGTAATCAAATAGGCGGAGCCATACCTTGGAGCTTTTGTTAAAACCAATTGTACTTCCTGAGAGTCTGAACTCGTGGTCACTCGGTTAAACCAGACTTCAGCAAAGAGCGCTCTTTGGTTTTGTATGGTTCCTCTTTAATAATCCTTTCCATACATTTGCACATTCTCCGTATGGTTTAGCACACATCCTGGTAACGAACACGCATAACAATATTTTCTTTCAATGGTATTGTGTCTTTTCCAGGTTCATAGATTCTATACCAGAATCAAGTCACTATGTTACCTTCAGTTGTAATGAAAAAGCTGCAAATATCAAAAATACGTTTGATTTAGCATCTAAACGCCTTGACGTTGGCCTCTCTTTCTTTGAGAACCTCCTACCGTTTCTGACACTCCCACTTTGTGTGTTTTAGTGGAGGGGTGAACTGTGGGGGCTAAAGCTTGGCTGTAGACTGAGCTCCAGGGAGGAGCTTTATACAAATAGGCGGTGCTTTGTACCAGCAAGTGTTTAGGCAGCTCCACGTGGTTACCACAGGAGATTCGAGGATTTCTCAAGCATGCACGAATGAGTCAAAGTAACACTCGGGGTATGTTTTTGATGCAGGAATGAAGTTATAACATGATATAATGCTCAGAAAAGTTGATTTTGCTTAATAACCCCCCAAAAGAGTAACTGTTGGTTGGTTTCTAAAAATGTTTATCCAAGATGTTCAGGCGCTGGAATTGCTTTATAACGCACAAGGCATTTTCCACATCTTGTAACCTTCGTTCACTCAGCAATAAAGCCTATTATTAGCAAGCCAGCCTCTTCAAAACTCAAATAAAATTATGTCCAAATACAACCATTTCTTCTGGATTTTGTCAATGAGTGTATTTGCTATTTGTATAACTTCTTTTGATGCTACATTTTTTTTCTCCTAAATAGTCACACAACACGGTGAACCATAATAAGGCCAATGTAGCCTTTTATAGTGTCATGCTCAAGGACAGGGTTCAGTTAAAATATCATCAAGACTTTTTGGCCCCAAACCCCAACAAGGAAGTTGCATCACTATTAGTTGGCTCTAGCTAAGTGTTTAGAGTTGTTGTCTGTTAGTCAGTTGCTTCAGTCACCGGTTTTCCCAGTTCAGATGTCTAAATTAGGTTTTATTCTTATTACTGAGGAACAGTCAAACTACACTGGATTTGATACAGTACTGGTATGCGTAAAGAGGTAAAAGACGACATCATGGGCTTGTCATCAGACCTGTCAGACATGAAAAATCCTAATTCAGAGCCAGCATACTTTAATATGATCATCTTCATCTCTAATGCTAAACATCTGCAATAACATAATGACAAACGTAAAATATATACTTAACATATGTATAAATGTTTTGTTATGCAGTATTAATTGTTTTTAAAAYGTGAAGGTGAAATAATGAGTTTAGACTGAGAAAAGAAAGCAAAGTTAGCTGGTTAATACTGCTGGTAAACACTTGTGAAGCATCATCAGCAGCACGTTATTGAGTAATCAGGCTGAATCTGGGATTCTGTGTTTGCAGACTTTGCTTACCTATCAGTGATCTTGGAGCTTGGGGTCGGTCGTAAAGGAATGTCCTGGAAAGAAAAAAAAACCTCTAAAGCAGCAGCCTCAGAATTGCAAGACCACGGCACTGACGCAGCCCAAAATGCTTCGAATCCTGTCATATATTTTATTTTAATGTCAAATAAAAATTAAAAGACCTAAAAAAACAATAACTACAGAGCAGTCTGCTCACCTTGAAGCGTGTCTTCCCATTAACGATGTTGTCTGATGTGAAGCCCTCCCGGCTCTGCAGGTGGGCAAAAGGTTTCACGGCGCCCCAGGATTCAAGGTAGCGCGTCATACGGACAGATGCCCTCATCTTCAGTCCATCGTTCACTCGAGGTTTAGCTGTGTTTCGGGTGTTCAGGGACGGATCCTTGGACTGAGTATGCAAAAACGCACAACTTATTGATCATAAAAAAGTAAACCTTTAATACCTTGATATGTCCTAAATCATACAGATTACAAACATTTTAGCAACTTGTTGTCATTTTTAGCATTCGGTCTACAACCTAAAAATATATATTTTTATTTTTAGGTATGCAGAACATATCAAATTCATAGAAAAAAACAACAAAAAATGAAAAGGAAACTGTTTTACTTTGGACTTCTCACTGTTCCTAAGCTGCCTACTTAAATAAAAATACAGACTTACCCTTGGATCAATCACTAGGTAGGTGCGKACATTGAGTTCATTGAGGTAAGAGTCTCTGAGGTGGCCGTTGCCCTCTTCTACTTCATAAGCCTTATTCAGGTGTTTCAGGGTTGCCTCTGTGATGTGGACACGCCTAACCAGGAGACAGAAAGACACAATGAATGATCTTTCATGGTGTTTATTAAATCAACCCATACAAGTCATGCAGTCATAAAAGCAAATTTCTTTTTGACTTTTCTAACCTTCACACTCACAAAAATATCACTGTAATTAGTGGCTGTTTTGATAAATGATGTGATTACCGGTACATAAAAAAACTGGAATCTATAACATTTAAGTTTCAAGGCTTTGAAAGTTATTAAATAGTCAAAATTTCTGAATTTCTTGTTTTGAGACAAACATATTACATAAAGTATGTGGGTGAGAGCACCTTGATTTTAAAACATTGCCATAATAGGACGCTTTAGATGATTAAACACAGAACAGGAGAAAAAACAAACAGATCTGAAGGACATCAGTTAAATGGTGAGCAGAGAGTAGAACACAAACCCAACAAGATTAAATCATTTTTAATAATGTCTTGTGGTAAACTGTTTAATGAATGTGAACTAATTTATATGGAAGTCTGACTGCAGTTAATGGTGAAAATAGTGAACTTTCACAGCACTGGTGCACAGCTTTGTTATCTCCCAGATTTACGAAGGATGCGTGAATCTCATTTTGTAACAACAATGATCCAAAGAGCTACTCAGGTTATAGAAATATAAGTAAATGAGTTGAACTACTCACCCGGGGACTCCTCCTGACTCCATGTGATTGGCCAGAGTGACRTCGTGCGACCACACGTCAAACTGCCACTTCCGGAGGCCGATCACGCCGCAGAGCACGTTGCCTGAGTGAACCCCAACTCTCATGTTGATATCCACCCCTGTGGCTTCCCGAACCTGCCTGAAGGAGCATCAAGCAGCAATAAAACGTGGTGTTGTGACTATTACTACATAATATCTACAAACCAAACACAGTTCAACAATGCCACAATATGATGCTATTTACTGTCCTTTCAAAATGAGCCTATTTGAAGCCTTGTTGACTGTGTATCAATAAAATAAGTAAAATTATACATACAACACTCTCTGTGGTGCAAACAAATTCAAGATAAATTTTTATAAAACAAGGGTTTTATCTTTTGGAGAAAAAAWTTTCAATGTACCGTCTTGCTTACAGTATCGCAATATATCGCGAAATATCATATTGTGATCCCTGTGTCACAATTAGGCATGGGCCGAATACCGGTTTCAAGGTATACCGTGATATGAAAAAGTCACGGTTTGAAAACCACTAAAATCTTCTGTCATACCGTGACTACGGTATAAGTGTTTTTTGTTTATTTTTCCTCGGGTCTGTTCCCCCGCGACCTCTCCCCCGCGCACTCCCGCAGCAGACTGCCTGTCGGTGCTCGCAGCTCTGCGAGGGTYGTGTGGTGGCTGAAGAACAGAGTTCCCCAAACTTTTCCCCTGTCTAAAATAATAAATCCAGCTATATGAAGATATTTAGGATGCCGTAAAGATGACAGCAATGTGTACCGTGAAGGCATCTAACATCGCAGCTCCAGGTAAATTTTATGCTATTTTGAAAGGAATGAGCTAACATTAGCATCAGATTGTGAAACATATCACCGTGTTGCTGTGGCTTAACGCACCAGTCACAGCTTGTCTGCAAAATTGGATTGTGTATTTGATAAGTTTTGAGTGAAAGGCGATAAAATTGAATGCCTCCTTTAGCCGAGCAGTTCTTTGGCTGATCGTGAGTTTCATAAACACGCATTCATAGTTGTGATTTCTTGTTTCTGTGTGCTTATAATTCTATAATTTTTACGCCAAAAAACCTTATGAAGTTTAAAACACAATAAAAACTCCCAACGTGATACATTACTTCAATAAAGAGACTTGTCGTGCAGTATACACTGATTTGTCAAATAATAAAGCAGTGGAAAAGCAATTATCCAATTAGATGTAAACTTTATCAGGATAAMCTTAACATTAGGTGTTAAAAATCATAAGTACAGATGCACACAGGTAAATAAAATGTCAGCATAACACCTCTGAGATTTAAAAACAGCTTCCAAAGATAATTAAAGTTGAATGTGATAATAGAAAAGTTATTTTCTTTTTTGTTTTTAAATACAAATTTCAAAACAAAATTTTTAGAGCTGCAATCATAATACCGTCACAACGCGAAACCGTGACATTTTTGCCCAAGGTTATCATACCRTCCCATGCCTAGTCACAATAAATATCGTATCACCAATACACAGCCCTGGTGTTCACATACAGAAGATGAGTGTAATGGTTCACTCACTTAATGGCTTCACACATGTCCAGGCCCATTTTGACACAGTTCTTGGCATGTTTAGGCAGCGAGACCGGCAACCCAGACACACAGTAGTAGCAGTCCCCCAGGATCTTGATTCTCATGCATTCATTCTCCTGTAAAGGACCCCCACACCCCCACACCCACAACAATCATTTTAAGAAACCAGGTGAGTAAGAGCTGAGGGAAGCTAACCCCTCCCAAAAAATGAACCACAGAAAAATAAAAGGCAAATATTCGGAGTGGTTAGTGCTTCGTTTGTGCACTTGAAATTGTCGTTTGTGCTGCTATGGTTTCCTATATATTAAAGATTATTTGTAAGGGTCATTCAGGGGTCACCATCCCATCCGCTCGCTCCAAAATGGACCAAAAATGAACCAAACTAGTCAAATTTTGTAGAGCTTTGTTTGAGCAGGTTTGTGCCGTTGAAACGGCTGTTTGTGCTGCTATAATTTATTATATATTACACGTTATAATTTCGGACGATCATGTGACTTGGCCTGAACTGTTTACGTCTGTGACAACGGGCCAAGTCACGTGATCGTCCCAAATGATAACGTGTAATATCTCATMAACTATAGCAGCACAAATGACAATTTCAAGTGCACAAAAGCACACAAACGAAACACTAACCACTCATCATATTTGCCTTTTTTTTCTGTGATTCATTTTTTGGGAGGGGTTGGCTTCACTCGGCTGCGAGGCAACAAAAGCAGGAACTACTCTGACACTGCCCAACAGGGCTTGAATTCTAGCTTACCAATAAAATAAATAATAAAATTACAATATTAACAAAAGTATTTTCTCACCTTAGCTATTTGGTCAAATTTGCCAAACAGTTCGTTGAGCATAATTACAAGCTCCTTAGGAGAACAGTCACTGGCCAAACGAGTGAAGCCAACAATGTCTGCATACAGAATACTGAAAGAAAGAAATGACGATTAAAAAACGAGCACACAACAAGACACTGACATGGAAAACACCATGTTTCAGCTCTTCAACCGTTCTTCAGTTTCTGTGTGGCTATTTTTGCATATTATGTTAAAAAAGGTGACTTTACCACACCAAGACAGGTAAAATTAACATTCCTCAAAGTCCACGATCGGTCAAGTGACTTTTCTTGACTAGGCATTAGGGTTGGGCGATATTGGCAAAAAAATTAATCACCATTAATTGTGGTATTTAGACGATAACGATTAATTTGGCGATTAATCCCCTGGAGTCCCAGAACACCCTTATGTCCTGGTCTCATGACCAATTTGGTGGGAAAGATTTGCTCTTCATAAAAATCTATTCCGAATTGTCAAAATTACAGACTTTGGTCCATACATCAAATTTTAAATTGTGTTGATAGATAAATCAATTTCAGAATTTATTTTTTTTATGTTCGTCATATTTGAAGCGGAGAGGATCATGACCAGACCGAACGAGGAAATTACCAGTCAGTCTGCCTGGTGGCATTAATCGTATTAATCGTCAAGTGCCAAAAAATAATCGATTAATGTTTTTCTGACGATTAATTGCACACGATACGATTATGCCCAACCCTACTAGGCATGTTTTTCAAACTTGAACTGCAATATTTCATGTATATGTTGTGTGGTGTGTAGAACACGTTTGAGTGTTACCATGCTCAGGCTGGCAGAAAATCTCTTCCTTTTTAATTACTGACTATAGAAACTGTCAAGGACCTCCTGTATGTACAGTTAGCAACGAGAGCACAGTGAGCCTGCTTTTATCAAAATAGCCCCATCAGCCTTTTATGATCCACAATGACCATTATAGCAGGAGGAAGAGTTTCAGACAAAATCGCCTTGGCCATTCTCCCATTAACCTCCAGCGAGTCTGATCGGTGTCTCGCTGAAAGACCTGTCTGGTTCCGAGCTGAATCACAGTCCCGGCGTCAATAAAGCTTCCCATTTGCAAAACCAGGGAGAGAGTGATAGCTTGTTTGACCTTTCACAGAGCTCTGACACAACAAAGAAAAACTGGAGGAATTTCAGCACAAATCCAACCCCAAGACAGCCCTTGACTCCCTTCCTTAATGTGACCGATCTCAGGGTGGGGGGTGGGGGAAGTGAAACTAACCACAGCAACAGGAGCCTCACTGGACACCACAGTCATTGTGTAGCAGTGAATGATCTGTCAGCAGCTGTGCCATGAAAGCAACAATGTCTTTTTACAGCATGATGAAGTGCAACTGATTTGCCAGCATAACGACAAAGCCGCCAAATTAATCTAAGCATTCTCCGTGTTAACAATGGTTATTTACATAAAGACATTCAAAACAAACCCAGACAAAAAAAAACACCTTCAAAGAGCTACATATAAAATATTATAATGAACTGAACAATGCAACAAAGCAGAGAATTACTGGTGCTGTTCAAGAATGGTCTGAATAATACGGACCATGAGTTGAGAAAGACAGGACCACAAATGCAGACTAAAAAAAACCCAGGTGCTTCATGAAGCTGCCAACACAGCTAATGACAGCTCTGACTCTGTAATTACAGGGATGCACCCAGTCTCAGTCAACACTGTTTCACTGAGGTCTGACAGCAGCATAAAACACAGTATGACTGATGGTCTATGTGTAAGATCACTTTGTCCTTAATCATTTAAAAAACACAACACAGAATATTAAACATACATAAAAAGTGTTAAATAAATCCAGAAAACACACCAGAAAAAAGAAATAAAGCCCGTGAAAGATTTATTTAAATTAACCTGTCTGTTCTTTTCTACCTTTGTAGAAAATACTGTATGTCTTTAATCAAGTAAATTTAATCCTGACTGCCACAAAATCTGTCATCACTTCCTAAATGAATGAAACCTTCATACAGAAAGCTGTCTGGACTGCTGCATTTAATATCACCAGAAACGAGAAGCAGTCAGTGAAGTCTGCGTTTTGTTGTTGTTTTCCTTTTCCAAACCTTGTTCGCTTTATGATTTTTAATTATGGATAAACAAAGTGCAAAACCTTTGACCTACTTTGTGAGAATCTCTTGATGCCTGATCAGTAACACAAGATTCTCAACCTTTCACACGTATCTTGAACCCCACCAAAAAAAACAAAACACACAACAATTAATAAAACAAACAAACACAGAAGTATTTTCGGTTGTTCGTGGTTGTACCTGACGTTCTCATGCCTCTTTACATAAAGGCTGTGGAAGTTGTTATCTTTGACCAGTCGCTGTCGCTCCTCTTTGTCTTTACAGTCCTGCAAGCGCTCCATTATTGCCAATTTCATCTTCATGGAGATATAAACGGGGAGAACAGACTGCAGCAGGTTCTCCTGCAAATATAAATACACACGTAGGATATATGTTACAGCAGTGGTTCCCAAAGTTGGACTCAGGTCCCCTCTGTGGGTCATGAAACACCAAGTGAGGGTCCACAGATGATTTAACCGAATTATTAGTAAAGTTTTCATATATAAACCAGTAATATTTGGTGTGGAAGCTAAACAGTTTAAAAAGCACTGAGTTACAGTATAAAAATGAAGTTAAGCTCTCTGGACTATAGCAGCTAATGCATGTCAGTAAGTGAGCGGTCAAAACCACGAAGTAGTAAGAATTACACAAACTCAAAGTCCTAAAGATCCCCTGTTATTTGGTTGTGTCAAATATTCATCACACCATTAAGTTCTCCACTTCATCAGATCAAGCAGTTGTGTAAAAAATGACACAGGAGCCACTGTGTGACAATGACCACAGACCAGAGGAGATTTCAAAGTGTTTAGACAGATGTGAAATAAAAACTTCTCATGAAATGATTTATCTGTCTTTGTGCAACCTTATGAGGTCTGACAACACGGGTCCAGGCTCGTTTAATTCATTTCCAAAATGTTCTCACCTGCAGCGTCTCTTCAAAGGACTGTAAAACAGCAGTGGATGTGATAAGGAACATGAGCTCTAAGTATTGCGACCGTTTCAGGGTGAAGGAGAGAAAGAGAATGTGTTTGTTCTTAATTAATCATTACATAAGATTAGTTATATTTCTATAAAAGTGAATTCCAAATATAAACAAGTTTGCAAAATACCTATATTTTCTAACATGTTCAATATGTTTATGAATACATCTGTTCAATAGCAGAACATTTATTTATTTTTTTACTTCTTTTGTTCATATACTGTATTCCTCAAGTAGATCAGGTAGGATGGTGAATGCACGTGTGAACAGTTTTGTTTTTCTCATTACCACAGATTTTTAACTTCTTTAAGTGTATGTTTGGCTTTAGCATTTTTGTTCATTAACATACAAATTATATTCCTTATGTAAAAAAATCCTATCAAAATGTAATTTGCTTTAAAAAAAGACCTAAATTTAACTTTTAAAAGAAGACAGATTAATAATAACGACAATAATATATCAATCATATTTAGACACTTTACATTATTCATTCACACACACACATTTGCACACTGATGATGGCCTGCCCTGGGGCACACTGACAGTGACTGAGATTAACTAATTGAATGTGTGTATGTAACCCAATGAAGAACTAAATCAACACTAATCTCTGTTGAAATCATAAAACAAACTGTGAAGGAGGTCAGGTTTAGGAATTCACTGAAGGTAACATGTTTTATGAAATCTTTTTTATATATATTTAAACACCAGATGATAAAATACTTTTTTAGGTACTGAAATAAATGCTAATTTTTCAGCATCAACTCAAATACATAAGGAGAATCAGATGTTGTTAGGAAACACAGCAGCTTCCATGTCTGTGTTTATACAGCCCTACACTAAGCAAAGCCACACCAAAATACAAAATGAGAAAATTGTTTTAAGAACACCTCTGAAGTCAACGCAACGCAGCACGGATGCAACTATTTTAAGACTATGTGAGAAAATGTAATTTGAGAAGGACCCGTTGCTCAGAAAGAAAAACACCTAACAGAAAATCAACATACGGATGGCCAAAGGCRACGCTTTGAAATGAAAGAAGAGCGTACTGATAACAAATCCTGATGGGCTATTTTCATATTTTGACGGCTGTGTGTGTGTCCATTCAGGGAGATTTTCATAATATGCAAAAATACTCTGAAAAATAAGGGTGGTAAAACAGTCTGCACACAGTGCTCTAATCATTTGACAACGCACCTGTTTTCAAAAAAATACATGTATGCTGCTGAAAAGCTGCAGTGAGCACAAGCCTTTCAAGGGCTTGGACAATATTACACAGGGATCTATTTGACGTGACAAATTGTGGTTTTTCAAACAAGCAGCTTCTAATGAGCCGCTCTTTAAAGGCCACTGGTTTTAACTGACCTGTTGTCTCTTTTCTATCTCCAGCTTCATCCTCATGCTCAGACACCTCAGAGTGTCTTGGTAGGTCTGCTTCAGTGTTTTCTCCATTAGGACCTTATGAAAGGCTCCCACGGCACAGCCACAAAAAAACAGCACTGCATTGGACAGCAGCTAAAGGAAAAAACAAACAGTAGCCAAAGTTAGAGCTGAAAACTGAAGCACCTGTTGTATTATATACAGAATTAAGTAAGAAAGTCTGTGGCTCTGTTGGACAGATTCAGTAGAAATAATATGGGCTTTGTCAGTGACTTAATTTCTCTTCTTTATGTTATTTTTAGTTTAGAAGTTTGACAGTCTGTTAATATCTTGTTAAATTATCTAAATTATGCATTAAATTTATTTTTTAACTCCACCATCTGTAAAGTGTTCAGTGTTCACAACTTTATCATCCACCTCTGAAAGGCGAAGGTGGACTAGATTATTTTTTTCTTTCAGTGAATGTGTGTTACATTTGTTAAAAGAGACTTTTTATGCAAAATTCACTTTTACATGTTTTTATGCTTCAGTTTGGGTTTGTACTGTTTCCAGAAAAAGTCCAAGTGCCAAAAAATACTCCTAGACATTATTTATTTTTTTATTTTTTGCAATATACAAATGTTTTGTTAGTGTCAGCAAATGAGTTGTTTCAAAAACGTGCAGATTGTTACATCACAATCAAGGTAACCTAGCAGCGTGTAAGAGAACCCAGCCCCTCACCTGGTAACCCAAGTGGAGACTCTGCCCACTTCTTCACAGGACGACCACGTTTGTTCAACTGTTTTTACAACAATCATGGAAAACAAAGATGCCTGGCTTGATTATATTTTTATTTTTGATGACAGTGTTCTAGCAATATTTTAGTTTGTGCAAATAATTTCACGATGGACTCCTTTGAAAACTTCTACCAGTACACAGCAGGATTTACCCAAGTACTTTCAACTGAAGGAGACTTCTGTTCCTACTGTTCGACACAAATCTGCCGATGTTGGCTGTGCTGGGAGGGCGGAGTTAATGTAAACAAAAGGTTAGGAGGGCGCTGCCAACAGCAGCTTATTTACATAAACAGCTCGTTCTAAAGGGAGCTCAGAACAGGCAGAACCGACCAGGTGAAATCTTATTATCTGAAAATGATTTTGTGTATTGAAGTGGCTGTGACATGCTTTTTCTTCATTTACAAAAAAATAAAGAAAATATCCTAATATTTTAGAAATTTGGCATCATTCATATGATTTTTACTCAGTTTGTCACAAAACGTGCAGATATTTTGCTAAATTTGGTACAGTCCAAGTGAAACAGGAAGTGATGTCAAAGGGGAACTCTTTAAAAACAGAGGTACCGTATTTTTCGGACTATAACAAGTACACTTCGCTGCAGCATGCAGAACGGGGTGGTGACAGACCTTTCCGTCAGTCCCATACCTTATATGGAAATGGGACTATTGCATTCCGGAAATGAAGGGGGCGCTAGTGACACTATTTTCTATCGAACACTTTCAACATTAAAAATACAAATTTTACAGTAAGGAAATAGCTACAAAACGTGTTATGTTCCATTTCCAAATCTTTATTAAATCTTTGTTGTTTTTGGATATTAAAATTATATTACAGTAACAAACTAAC